TTGTTTTGTAAAGTACAACAGTCACACACTGCAAAATGACATTTCGGTCACTGACAGACTACGTATATGATGGGGGTCCCATAAGATTATAATACTATATTTTTACCATACCTTTTCTATGTTTAGATATGCGTGGGTACACACCACTGTGTTACAACTGCCTCCAATATTCAGTATGGTAACATGCTGTACAGGTTTGAAGCCTGGGAGCAATGGGAGAGACCATATAGCCTTGGTGGGCAGTAAGCTATATTATGTAGGTTTGGTTAAGCACACTCTATGTTCCCTAACAACGCATTTCTCATTGTTAAGTGACCATAACTTAACAGAACAGTGCCACATTGGAAGCTCAACAAGACCTCAAAAAGCAGGAGGAAGATTTCTACCTCTTTCAGTTGCTACTTTTACTTAATATCTGCTTGCACATTTGATACACTACTTTTAAAAATTAACAGTAAAGCAGTCTTATCAGTTTCCTTCCTCAAAGTTTACATTTAACTGAAGGCTGTATTTACAAGGTAGAAAGTAAATTTTGAAGCCTTCAAATTTAAGAAAGCAGGTAGTAGAGAACTCTGTCTACCACAGTTAATTTTGCAATTGCATAATTTCATTTCTTAAATGATGTGTAATTATTAAATCATAACTTTTGGGTTTATAAGTTTCTTAGTAACAGGAATTCATCCAATTGTTTAGCTTATGGGGCTCTGCCATATAAATTGTTCATCTGTCAGTTATATGGATTTAAGTGGTATGAGGTTTACATGTAGCAGTCAACACATGGCTATGTGAAGATACTGATATTCTTGTAAGCAGCAATAATATTTCATTCATATATATACACACACACCAGTTTATATATATTACATATATGTGCTGATTTACTATTTGTAATTTTTCTCAACCACTGAAATAGATGTTTGATGGCTTCTTTCACCATTGCATTTACCATTTTTTCCTTTTTTTTTTTTTTGAAACAGAGTCTCACTCTTGTCACCCAAACTAGAGTGCCATGGTGTAACAGCACAGCAACCTCAAATTCTTGGGTTCCAGAGATCTTCTTGCCTCAGCCTCCCAAGTAGTGGGACTACAGATGCCTGCCACAATGCCTTTTAGCAGAGATAAGATCTCACTTTTGCTCAGGCTGTTCTCAAACTCTTGAGCTCAAGAAGTCAACCCACCTTGGCCTCCCAAAGAGCTAGGATTATAAGTGTGAACTACCACATCCAGCATCATTTATTTTTTCAAAGAATCCTTAAGTCACTTCACTTTTCTTACTAGGTTATTATCTAGTTCAAGACCCCATTGTTAGGATGTTCTGATGGTTACTTAAGTTAACTCCATTTTGGTGCTAACTCCATATTTAAAGTTAGTGAATAGGCTCTCTGGTTCTCCCGTTCATCAGACACTTCTGCAGTGCCAGCCGCATCTGCAAGGCACCATGGTGAAAGTGAAGGTTGGAATAATGACCAACATGGCTTTGGTCATATTGGGCACCTGGTCACCAGGGCTGCTTTTAACTCTAGCAAAGTGGATATTGTCGCCATTAGTGACCCCTTCATTGACTTCAACTGCATGGTCTCCATGTTCCAGTAAGATTCCACCCCTGGCAAATTCCATGGCACAGTCAAGGCTGAGAACAGGAAGCTTGTCATCAATGGAAATCCCATAACCATCTTCCAGGAGCGAGATCCCACCAAAATCAAATGGGGTGAGGCAGGTGCTGAGTATGTTGTGGAGTCTACTGGCATCTTCACCACTATGGAGAAGGCTGGGGCTCACCTACAGGGGGGTGCCAAAAGGGTCATCTCTGCCCATTCTGCTGATGCCCCCATGTTTGTGATGGGTGTGAACCACGAGAAATACGAAAACAGCCTCAGCATTGTCAGCAATGCCTCCTGCACCACCAACTGCTTAGCCCCCTTGGCTAAGGTCATCCATGACAACTTCAGCATTGTGGAGGGACTAGTGACCATAGTCCCTGCCATCACTGCCACCCAGAAGACTGTGGATGGCCCCTCTAGGAAGTTGTGGCATGATGGTCGCAGGGCTCTCCAGAACATCATCCCTGCCTCAACTGGTGCAGCCAAGGCTGTGGGCAAGGTCATCCCTGAGCTGAATGGAAAGCTTACTGGCATGGCCTTCTGTGTCCCCACTGCCAATGTGTCAGTCATGGATCTCACCTGCCGTCTGGAGAAGACTACCAAATACGATAATATCAAGAAGGTGGTGAAGCAGGCATCAGAAGGCCCCCTCAAGGGCATCCTGGGTTACACCGAGCAACATGTCGTCTCCTCTGACTTCAACAGTGAAACCCATTCTTCCTCCACCTTTGATGCTGGGGCTGGATTGCCCTCAATGACCACTTTGTCAAACTCATTGCCTGGTATGATAATGAATTTGGCTACAGTAACAAGAGTGGTGGATCTTATGACCCACATGGCCTCCAAGAAGAACCCCCACATCACCAGCCCCAGCCAGAGCAAGAGAGAAAGAGAGGCCCTCAGCTGCTGGGGTACCTCTGCCTACTCAGTCCCCCACTTCACTGAGGATCTCCCCTTGACAGTTTCCACACCAGACCCCCCAAAGAATGGGAGGGGCCTACGGAGCCCCACCTTGTCATGTAACATCAATAAAGTTCCCTGAATTCAGCCAATAATAATAATAATAATAATAAAGTTAGTGAATAATGGAACTCCCAATCTCGAAGGAAAGACTTAGGGATAGTAAGGAAACCAGTTTCCAGGGTAGTTCTGGCCCTCATTTATTTAAAAGATCAGCATTTACCAAAAAAAAAAAAGAAAAGAAAGAAAAAGGAAAAAGAATTGTAACAACCAATCTAAAGCTTCATATTGGATTCTATCCCATTTTAATTTTGAAAGAAAAATCATTAGTGATTATGAAACTTTGGAGACTTCTTTACAATCTAACTCTGAAGAGCTTACTAATTCCCATGCGAGGCTCCAGGTTGAATATAATGAAGAAATTTGTAAGATTATGAAATATTTTCATTTCCTTCTGAAAGATATTTTTACTCTACTTACTAAAACATGGTAATATTATTTCCCATCCTTTGAACTCCCATCTTATTTCCATATTTTTGAATTTGTTGTTTCCATCTAATCTTTACATATAAAGTTAAAAAAAAA